TCATACTTGTTTAATCATTGACAGTAGACAGCCCAAGCAGGAGCCACGGCCCATTAATACACACTCAAAAATGCATTATAGCAGGAGGCAAGGAAAACCCACTGCTTCTGTGCAGATACACTGCCATCCATGCTTCTGCAAACTGACAAACCCCTTTTTTTACAGCAAAAAAAAGAAGCAGGATTAGGACTAGACTGAATTAATCTTATGAAGTCATTGTGTGTGTGGCAAAATGCTAACAGCCCTCTAGCAGCACTCTCAGCTAGGAATGTCTACCTGCCACCAGATCACACTGCTGGCTTCTCATTTGATTTTCAGCCATTGTACACATTGCTGCATGCCTAATTGAAGCTAGTGCCCAACTAGGACCACTCTTGACTCTACACCTTCTGCTCCCCAATTACCTCCACTCCAAAAGCTCCCCGAGCCTCACTCTATCCAAATTCTTCTTCCTTTCCAATGTCCTCCACATGGGACCCACATGTTTCTTCAAACTTCCCACCCCTCTTCTCCCTTAGATTCCCTCCTGTATGCACCTGTCACGTATCCAAGAGCTCCCTCCCACCTTATTTGGAGGTTTGTTTTTTTTCCTAAAACAAAGGGCCTTAACTGCTCCTTCAGACTCACCTTTTATTTTTCTTCTTTATAAATATCTTGTTCTCTGTATTTATTGTTGTGTTCTTACAAGAGATGAGACTAAAAGACAGTTTTCTGTTATTTAACTTCTGGAAACTAAGCAAAGATTTGTTAGGTTTTCTACAGGAGAGGCAAATACCTAATGCAGAACAAGTTATTTTGATTGCCTAAGATACTTACCAACCAATTGTGGATAGTAGGTGCTGCTGTTCTCTTTTCAAAAGCTACATATATTCAGTGTCTTGCCTTTTTTTTTTTTTTTTTTTTTTTTAAATATTCATCATTATAACCTAGATCTTGAATGCAGCATCAAAAGCTTCAGCTTCCACACAGCAATGGGATGTTCTCTGTGCCTACCCAACTCCCGAGGTGTTTTCTGGAGAAAACATCAACTCCACAGGCACATGTCTCATTTTGTACTCATCTTTGTTTAGGAGGCAGCTCTTAACACACAGGACTGTTAAAAAAAACAATAAATACCAGCCTTTTTCTGCAAGCAAGTGGCCCAGGGCACGCATACCATGGATCTTATGGCTGACACCCACACCACAGAACTTCAGTCCTCTGTGCGCAGGAAAAAATATTTGTAAGACTATCCAAAGTAATTCATTGTCAATGGGAAAAAAAAAAAGACCAAACCCCTCTAAAGCATCATTTCTTCCTAGAAGAACACAGAGATGATGTTCTCGCTTAGCAAGAAAGAGAACAGTACAGCTAAAAAACACCTGAATCACAGCAGTAGTCTCTCTTAATGCCAGTTGTTTGGCTCCTCACTTGTGACATCAGTTTAAGACCTGGCAGATACATTGTGAAAATTAATGCAGAACACGTAGAACCCATAAATGTAAAAAACCAGACCAACCACTCATGCTCAACTCATGCATTATAATGAAAAAAAACAACCAACCCACCCTAGAGTTGTATTTCTTCATACTGAGATCATAAAATGTAGTCTAAATGGCCAGGTTTTTTTCCAACGATCTAACTTTTCAGGACTTAGTATTTTAATAATAAATGACTAAGCATTGTAAGGTTTTTGTTTAAAAAGTGTTTTCACTTTAATGGGTTTAGTTAATAACATCATGAATGGTACAAAACTGTCCTTTTTCACATTTCCATACATTGTATTACGGACCACCTGAAAACCTGGACTAAGAATGCATAAAGTGTCTCTTAATTAGTCCTAGCTTCATTTTTGCCATATGTAGAGGAGATATGCCAAAAAACATGCATTTGTTACCAATGACATGTTAAGATTAGCTTAAACAATAGGATATGGCAGAAAGAATGTGCATTGTCTAATGCACAGGTATGTAATAGGGTAAAGAAAGACCAAATGTCAAGTGCTGACAATGAAATAAGAGATGGTTGATGACACATCGACATTTTGTGACCATAGTATTAGCTTTTCTGTTTTAAAATTGTTTTAAATAGTAGTAAATATTTAAATAATATTTAAAATATATTTCCCCAAGGAAATCATTTACTTGGAAGACAGCCTGTAAGATCTGACTTTTTAAAAAGTAGTATTTCATTTCGACAATATATGAATACAACACATGCCACAGAACTTCAAAGACCCTAAAGTCCTTAGCCATTTTCAGAAACAGTTTCTCAATCCAATTTTGTCTCCGATTTTTTGCTAGCAAAACTTTGGAAGTAGCTTCTCAAAGAAAACCTGCCTTTAAAAGAAATACTGTATTTCAATACAAACAAACCAAATGTAAATGGGGATGCCATACTAAAGGAAACAAAGTGGCATTAAACCCCAAATAATTCATCATGCAATTAGTTTCATTTCTGTCTTGCTAATTCATTGTCTAAGGAGGTTTTTGTTCCTTCCTAGTTCAACTTCAATTTCCACTGTCAGATATTAAGGGATAAAGATCTCACTGTTACTTGAAGGAAGAAAAATTGAGGTGTGGGTGTTAAATTCATTATCTAAAATGCAACAAAACAAAGTGTTTGTACAAAAAAACAATCTGTACATCAAATTTTTTTGTCTAAGTTTGCTTCAGTATAAGAAAAACCTCTTCAATCCCACTAACAAAGCTTTATTTTGATTTATGATCCTTCAACACGTTTGATAGTTCCACAGTTTTACTTATCCTAACTTGGTAAATTAATAATCCAGCCACCATTTTTGCAGCCCAAGACAAAGATGGAAGCTCCAGTATATTAATCTTTAATAGCCTGGGGTAGTTATTTTTATTCAAGATAGGTTTGTCCTGTCTTCTACAGGCATGGTGCTTGTTTAACTGGCCTTGGGAATAAAACAACTGAAAATAAGCCAGGGCCACCTTCTACAGCAGCGCAGAACATCCTGGCCTCGTGAGTTTTTTGTTTGTTTTCTGTTGTTTTTTTTTTTTTTAAATGGTTGTTGCTGAAATTACCTTATATTTAAAGAGGGGCAAGCTACTCCAAAAGGCTTTTTTTTTTTTTTTTTTTCCAGCTTCTAAGGACTTGGATTAAAAGAAGTAGCTTCCTAAAACTACTTCTAGATTCAAAAATCTAGAGGAAGTATAAAGTTGCAATATAGCAATAATTTATGAAGTACAGAGACCTCTCTCAATTAGTTGCTTTGTAGTTGTATTAGGAAGGGATGTTTGAGACACAGAGTCTGACAAGTTCTTTATTATACCATCAAGGAGCCAACCTGATTGTTCCCTCAGTTTGTATCCTCATCATTTTTAGACCTACAGATTAGGAATTCCCAAACTGCCGTGCATATCACTGTAATGTGACAACAGAACTCTGCCTGGGCAAGTAAATACCTCTCATGAATCTACACACACTGCCAACCACCTTCACCAATAAGGGAACACACTAAGGAAATCTGGAACCCCCCACTATCGATTAAAGAGTATACCGGCACATTACTATACCGTCAGTGTGGATATTTACATTAAAATAATTTTAGCTCATTGCTATCAGTGTTGGTAACTTTGGTGTTTGGCTTCCCCATATAAACTCTAGCTCCTACCAGATTCAAAACAGGACGACTGAAACAACAGAAACTCTTCAACCCTGTGGCTACCCTTCTTCTCACTGTGAATGTGAAATAGCTTCATGATTGCTCTAACAACCTGCACATTCTTCCTAAACCCAAACCCACCTCGCTTTCCTTGATCATAGTAGACACAGCAGTAGCACGATGCATCTATTACCATGATGGTGACCTCCCTTTTTAAAGCAAAACCACTACGAAGAGGCTTTTAAAAAGTCAAGGGCATGTGTACCCATTTATGTTCACTGTAGTCTGCATACAAATCGTAAAGGAGAATTATTGCTTTTAAAAGATGAAAAGCTTTGGAAATATGGTAAACATCCTACAAGGTTCTAAAACTAACCAGCTAAAATTCTGTACATACCTTAATATTCAAACCTCTATCTGATTACTCAAGAACAAATAATTTCATTTTCAAATCTATTCATTAAACTCTTCATAGTTCTAAGGTCTAATGAATATTTAACCACTAAATAGGATCAAAACAGGTAACGGGAAAAAAAGTCACATGGCAATGAACATTTCATTTGGCCAATGAAGAGAGAACCCCGCTTTCTTGGCTGAAATTAAGGCACTAAGTGGCAGTGAGAGGATAAAGGAATCAATTTTTTTTCCAAAAAAATCTGAAAAAAGACCAACATGACATTTTTTTTAGGACGCCAGTCGAGCACATCTCTGTTCTGAATGACTCAGTAAGGCATTCTGTTGGCAAATTTAAAGAAAATGTTCTCCTGATCAGAGCCCATTACATTCATTGTCTGAGTGTGACTAGTGGCACTACTAACTGTTAACAAACTGGAGGGGAAAAAAAGCTACAAAAATGTCTGAAGTCTCAAAAGGCACCAAAAAGAGAAGAGCTCTGCAACGGCCAGTTCTACAAACAATTATGTAAGCTGTGTTTAACACTGCATATAGTCTATCCAATCATCAATCTTTGTTGATGAAGATAAAGTGTAGTAGCTCTTCATTTAAACTCTCAGTTAATCAAGTGCTAGTTTAGTAAGAAATTTATTTTCACGTATCAGAAAATAATTGCAGTGTCTAACACAACTACACTTAAAGCAAAACTAGTCTAGTATGCATTATTCTGGTTAACACTGAAGCAAACCTGTATAAACAAAAGGGTTACCTCGAGATATATAGTTTACAATATGAAATCAACATATAAATGAATAAGATTTACTGAAAACAATGACAAGTCTATTACAAAGATACATGAAACAATTTTAACCACAATATTTTCTCTGTGAAAAATACAACTATTAGTGAGATAAAATGTACAATTGAAATTTTTTTTCCAAAAGAAAAAAAAAACACAGTATAAAGGAAAATATTTTTTTTTTCTTCAAAACAGGGAAAATAGTTAAGGTCATTGTCTTTCATTACAATATAATTTGACACAAAAAGCAGTCATAGGATTGCACCAACTCCATGTTCAGTCTCCTGAACATGACAATAGTAAAAGGAGTCCATAAAGCATTATGAAATTTCTGGATTTTATGATGGCAATATACGTATACAGAACTGATGTCACTCCGGCTCTGCTCACAAAATGTACAAAACTCTAAATTTGGTGGCCAGACATGTAAAAATTAGTTCGCCCCAACACTGGCTTTTCTGTTGCTTAGTCAGGGATGGAAAAAGCTGTCATATTTTAAGTGTTGTTATCTTTTTAGCAATAAAGAAGAAAGTATCTGTAGTGCATGCTTTATCACTTGTCAAAAACATTTCTGAAAATAAAACTAAGTTATCCAATAGTTTACAAAACAGAAAATAATTCTTCAGGTTAAAAATGTGGTTAGGTTTAAGTTTAGTTCCATCTCCAAAGGACTGATTCCTTGGCAGCATCACTTTTCCTTAGCAAGAGCCAAGGCATAAAGTTCCAGAAAGAGAAATAAAAATGGCTACAAACAACAACATGGTCTGGCATTGTAGAAAATATCAGAGCCTCTCTCTGAGCTTTCTGTTCCATCAGGTTCGTGCTGTAGAAAAATATGAGATTTGGGATACATTTTTGTTATAAGCATTTCTGCTGGACACGATTCAAAAGTTCACCAAACTTTTCAAAAAGATCCTCCACCCATTTTATATTTTTCATGCACAGCTGAACAATTTCTTCCTGTCCTAGATCTGCACTCTTCTTCTGAACAGAAGAAATCTATTTAAAAAGAGAAGGGGAAAAGAGAGAGAGATGCATACACATGTCAGGCTGCCAGCATTTCAGAATTTTCTTTTTTATAATATTCTGCAGTTAAATAGTAACCTTCTCTGGTAGAAAGTCTACGTTTCAAAAATAAGGGAAAAAGCCCTCCCCAAAATGCATTTCTTAACCAAGAGTTAGAGCTCAACTCCCCTATTCCTGCTACTTGGAATATTGCCAACAAGGATTTGAAGAAAAAATACAGCAGTGGGCATTCTATGACAAGAAGTGGCTTCTAAATCTGAGGAGTTACACACTCTGAAAAAAATAATTTTATTTATTTTGGCTAACAGTGAAGAATGCTTACCACTATCCTGAGGGAAACTCATCTCACACAAACTTTGTAAGCCTCATATCAGAATGTTCTGGGTAGCAGTGCCCATTACAGGCAACAGACGTGCTCAGCATATCCTTTTCTTTGCCATAAAGAATTAATTGAAATAGAAGGCCAAATTCTATACTCATTTACCAAGATCAGAAAACAGTCCTTCTGGTTGGACTCAAAGCCCGCAATGAATATAAAACTATCTCAAGGAGAAAAATACTCACCTCTTCTTTACACGTTAGATATATGTGATATTTGTAATGGTGGAGTGAGTGATACAAAGAATACAACTGTAGTTTTTCTGGATCTACTGTAAACTCCTGCAAAAAGAAGAGTTATTTCAGGTGAATTCATGTTATTTTCACAGACAGAGATATAACAGACATTTTCTTGTGTAAATAATTTGTTTTCAACAATTCAGAAATGGAGCACTTAATTCAAAATAACTGCTTTGACGTATTTCGGTACACTAATTTATATTATATCACAATTATCTTCTATCTCCACTTTCCCTGCTAAGTTATTCTATCAAAACTAGGTTTAAGAATGCTTTCAATCCTCCTGAATGCACTGCAAGTCTAAAATGGGCAAGACACCCCCTTCTCAAGAACTACTGCAAGAATTAACACAGCTTAACTGTTTTTCTACTGCACTGGTGGGTATCACTGCAAAAAAAGCATATAGTTTGTGACTCAGAAGAGCTGGTAAGTTAGATACCTAACACTTATGTTACTTTGACAAGAATATGAGCGTGGGCTGTATTTACAGGGCACTTGTCTAGCCACTGTTTAGTGCTGGGAAGTGAGCCTACGTAGGCCAGGGCCCAGCAAAATCAGTTATAGTGTTCCCTAACAACACTGTGGAAATAAACAATGTGTACATTTTAAGCTTTACCTTATTACTTTTTTTTTTTTTTCAAGATACACCACTTTATTTTGCCATTGGAAATAAAGAAAGAAGCAATGATGAATTATTTTTTAAAAAATGTTATCTAGTCTCAATTTTTACAGTATTAACATTAGTTTTTCATTTGTCATCTAGAAACCGTTGTATCATTTAGAGTTTTTGCAGTAAGTTTAAGACACTGTTACCATTACAAGCTGCACAGTGAATTTACCACAACTGCAACGCTGCTGCTTCAGCAACAGGGTAGAGGGCTGACTGCCACTGCAGAACAGGGTAGGAAGCTTCCAGTATAAATATACAGCACATGAGCACTTGGGTCTATACATTGAACTTTAATAGCAGAATCATTATGAAATGATTTAATGTATTTGATGTCTCTACTGTAATATCACTGTTTCACAGATGAGTGAAAAGAGTGATTTAATATACTGCTTGAATTGTTTTTGTAAAACTGCCTTGTAGCAGAAAAAACATCTCCCTCAAAAGAGATTTTATATTTTGATAAATCTACCAAAAAACCTAACACACGAAGCAGTATTTTATATAAATGTGGTTATACTGAAAGTCGATGGTGGCAACAATAAACCCTCTGAACACTCACCTGTGCTAATTTAGTGGTTGATTTAGAAGCCCTCAGTGTTTTCTTGTTGTAAGCTTTACCATTCATTTTGATCTTAGACACAGATGTTCCTCCACTTTTTGTCTTAGCATCCCGAGTGATCACTGTCAGTTCAGGGAAGTTCTCCAGAGCGTTCTTTAAATAGAGCACATAAAGAAAAAGGATTATGAAAAATTCAAGAACAGCCAGCAACTCAGACTGCTGATAAATTGGCTGTTTTTCTTTGAAAATTTAAGAGTGCAGCCTACTAGAAAAAAGCTCCTGTCCCACATGACTTACCAGGAATGGGCTGTGGGAAAAAAATATCTTTTAAAGATCTCATGATGAAAAAGCAGAACCACAAGTTCTGCTGTTTCCTCCCTCCTCACCTAGCTCTCGGAAATAACCACACAGCAGTACAGAGAGACAACTAATTCTTCAAGTGTCTCTGTACTGTGGACATAAAGGGACAAGCAAAAGGCAAAAGAGCAAGTCTGGTGTAACAGCGTTTATGGACAGGTCTGCTTCACTGTTGGTAAACCACTGAGGGTGGGTGGGAAGTGCAGGAACCACAGTGATTCTCCTCCCATTTACCTTCTCTACTGAGGTGTTGCAGCTGTCCTCTTCCCCACCCACATCCAGACCTGTTTATTTATTACTACTTATTACCTCTTTATTAACATGCTAAAGATACTGCAGTATGGGCTTCTTATCCACACTTCTCCCAACCTTTCATGCTGAAGATAAATGAAAGAGGACACAAATGAGTTGCTCTTGAGTCCCTCTGTCCTGGTTTTAAACTACTCTGATAATGTTCTCTACATCAAAGAAGTTCAGAGCTCTGCTCCACAGTGTAGATATTTAATCTAAAAGTTTATTAAGATTTTTATGCAATACAATCATTTACCCAAAAAGCTCTAGAAGGACAGGAAACATTTGCTTTCTCCAAACTTGAGAAGCTTAAAAGAAAAAATGCTTGAGAATGAACCATGCTTGAGAATGAACCACGGGGAATAAAAACTACAACTTTACAGTACAACCTCCTCCATCATAAAATGTTCTTCAAATGCCACAAACACTCACTGAAATTAGAGCATCTCTTTCAAATCCACATTCACTTTTGTTACAAATTTGCCTCCTGGGTTTTGAGTTGTGCCTGCATGGTATGCATCCAATGACTTATAATATTACTTCAAAAATCCTACAATTTAAAAGGGAATACCTTGAAAGTATGATCCAAGCGTAATTTGGAGAGCAGCCTTTTCCTGTTGTCATTCAGCATACCATCAATTTTTCTCATGTGAGGCAAAAGTAGCTCATCTAAAACACACAGAAAAAAAGACAGCAGTTGACGATTAAGAGAGACACAGTAATGAGATCCCTATTTAATCTATTCAACCTATTAACAAACCATGGAAGTAAAAAAATAATGCAATTTGCACAAACTAATTTCAAATCTGAGAGAAAAACCTTTTATTCTGGATCAGCCTGCTAAACCAGTCCAGATATTACACAGTTTAATTGCTGACTGCAGTCCTGTTCTACTTATATACATATGCTTAACTACTTATATAGTTACACGGGTATTTCTAAGAAAATAAACAGACATGAAATGCTTGCTATAAAAGATAGTAACAACAGCAATAAAGAGCCAAGTTCTGACATTCACAACACAAGTCTAATGTAAGAAAGCAGACAAGACAGTATTTCCAATGACTACTCAGTGCAATTATGTATGTATGCATACACATAAATAATTTGCATAAAGTGTTCTTCAGATGTGGGTGTATAGCTAGAAGTTTGGTGGGGTTTTGTCTTCTATGAAAAAAGATTTGCTTTATTAAACTTTAAAATCCAATAAAAACATACAAATTTTAAACATACTGTACCATTGCTCTTTTCCAAGGCTTGCATTGTGTCTGGATCCAAGGCAATGCTAACAAGCAACTCCATGTAGCTCTTAAAAGTCTCTTTCATAGCTCTTGTGTTCAAAAAGCGAGTAACAAGGGGAGCTGGAGGTACAAGCTCTGAAAATTAATTGGAATATTATTAGTTTTTTCCCTCAATATGCTGCAAATGTTTGTTTTTCAAAACTGAAGGTTTCTCTCTTAAAACACAAGTGACCCCTACTGGTATCCCAAGAGATGAAAACTCAATACAATCAGGAATAATACTCGGACTACTTACATGCCAAAAATGGGTTCCAACACCAAATCTGGTACAAACAATACAATTAGTTGTAACTATCAGCATTTAGATTATAATATCTTAGGGAATTTTCCTGTTATTGTAGATGAAAGTCTAAGAAAACAGATAATTAATAAGTTTAGTCAAGGAAAATGCCCTAAATGCAGATTTCACGTCAATGCAAGTACCTCCTAAAACTGCAAAACTTGAGGTCAACCACAAAACTTCAAGTTGTCCAACAGAAAAAGATTCAAAAATCACTAGTGTCACTCAGAAGCCTGCCTATCACTGAAGTCAATCCCACCTACTTGTCCACTTCACCAAAAAACAAGCACAAGAAATTTCACCAGGAAAGCAATGCAGGCATATTTGTACTTACTCTGAGGGAACTTTTATTTTTTCATAGACACCAGTTTTAAACATGAATATGGAACAGCCATCAGTGAGTAAGTGTTCTGGAGCTTTTCACAGGCTCCAAGTATGATACCAGTGTGTTGCAGTAATTTACTAGCAAGGCTTTGAACTTTCTCAGATATCCACCTTTCTATGGATATGGACTATCATCATCAGGTTACTCAAAATTTTAAATACGGACATTTGTACATATTAACAGTTATTTGGGTTAGCTTACTTGAAAAAAATAGTATTTTGAACGTGCTGCCCTCAGCAGAGCCACTGTTCCAGTAAACCAACCCTAGCTGACCTACAGTCAAGTCACTGAGGCCAACGTGCTTTGGAAATGCAGCAATACAGATCATGGGTGCTACAGAGCCTAACTGCAAACACGCAGGAAATAAACAGAACTCCTGCAAAGTGCACTGCAGAGCTGCTACCACAGGTACTCTTTATAAACATTGTACACTAAAAAAATTTCCTTGCTCTTCTAGAGAATTACTGCAAACATCATATCTCGATGTTCCAACACACCATGAATGTCCCAACAGCAAATCTGCTCAGCACACCGCATTTGGGCATCTGGCATTTAGACAAGCAATGAAGCAGCCAAAAAGCCAACTGCTCTTTCTCCTTGGTTTTTGAATAAAACAACCATAGTACTGAATTCTGCCCACATCTGCATGCAGACAGGCACTGCAGGAATGTTATTCCAGACATGACATAGAGCTGCAATGGAAAATCAAAAAAGAATCCAATTCTTGAGATCTATTTGAAAATCAAAGCTCCTCCTCCTCCCAATGTACCTGTCTTAGAAAGCAAATATTAAAAAAAAATTTATCTAACTGATAAACTACATTTGAGATAACTTCAGTTGCATACATTTGCTCATGCACAAGCAACAAGTAAAAAGTCTGAAGAAACCAATTTTGCTTGGCACTGCCATATTTTAATATTTTTTTCTGAGGCTAGTAAAGAAAAATTTGCAACATCAAGCAGCATACTTTTATAATACTATTTTCAGTTAAGCTCAAATAGGCCTAAATGCTAACAATAGTATCTTGCTTACCATCCTCATCACTCTGGGCCTCAGGTGAAGAATCAGACTGAGAAGATGAAAATTCTTCTTTCCACTTTTTCCTTTTCTTTGGTGGTGGTTCAGCCTTTACCTTTGGCTGCTTAGCTTTGGGTTTCACAGAAGAGACTTTTGTTGCTGCTGGTTTTGGTGTTGGTGGATCAGGGACTTTGTTGTTGCTACTACTAGGCTTGGAATGAAAAGTCCTGCAACATTATGAAGACAATCTTTATAAAAACAATTACCACACAAGCTTTGACATTAACAAAACCTCTATGGTCTTATTTAATCAGAATGTATTTCCCCACGGATTATATGTACTTACTTCATTGTCATATGTAACTAGGAGTTAGGTCATACACCTTATAGTACTATATTTTTGATATAAAGTTTATATTTTGATATATATTCAATTACTCTCAATTATTGATTTTTATTATGATGATTAAACAGCATTCCCAGTTTGTAACTCGACAAACAGGCACAAAGTTAATTGTAAAAAGTTAGTAGAATTTATGAGCTGTAGGAGATTTGTGGTAATGTTAAAATTTATTATTTAATGAAAAAAATAATACTTGAGAGACGTGAACAAATACTAGCAATCAATAAGATTTGATGACAAAGTGAATTTGGGATATTGTATCCATACAAATGTGGGAGAGAGTATCATACAGGTAAAAATGCAAAAAATGCAGGATCTTGAGGACTGGAATAAGAAATCAGGTAACTCCTCTCTTTTCTCTTCCCACCACCCAAACCAGGAAAACAAACAGGAAACTTCACAGCATAAGTACAAAGTTATGTACTTTAGACTGACAACATACTATAGTTTTGAAAACTTGTCAGGGAAATATAATTCTGGGAAGTGCCACGCAAGATTTTTTTTGTCCAAATGGTAAAGTTCAAATGGGAATCAGTAAAACAATACTAACAAAGTTTCTAGTGTTCTTCTGGAACACCAAGAGTAATTCTAGTTGCTTGTCACAGATAAAGATTTCAAACTAAAATGGATGGAGATAATAGATAATGGAAAGCCTGCCTCAGACAAAGAAGCTGAAAGACCTTGATTAATCCAGCTTAGTGAAATGAAGACAGGTGGAATCACACTGCCTCAAAAAATACATCATCATGCTGTAAGAGCACCAGTTAAAGACAGAAATGAGAGCCAAAAACAGTACTGATAGAACATATGGAGACAAGGTAATCATCATGTTTTGTTAAGACAGGACTGTTTCAGAGCACTGGAGGAACAGGTTCTGGAACAGTCTTCTGTACCCTAAGAAAAAAAACCCAAACATCAGAATCCTCGCTAGTTCTAAGTAGATCATGGTTATGTTGTAGAATTGATTATCTGATGGCATTGCTTTACTTGAAAGCAAACTAGACTTAAAACCACAGTCAATTCTTGAATGAAGAGCACTAACTTTTTTCATTAATTTACTAAGACTTGATAAAGAAAACATCTGCATTATTGAAAATCCATATAGAAAACTTACAGATGTCATCTGAAGTTGTGAGAAAATAAAATAAGCTAAGTGTTAAAGCGTGACAGAGTTTGTACAATACAGAATCTGCATTCTTTTCCAAGAGCATAATCAAAGGTCAACACAAAATGCAATAGCCAAACCCTTAGCAAGTTAATGACAGTGAAGACCTTATCAGAAGGAAGGTGACAGAGGAAATCTCAGAGGTAGCCTAAGTACCTGCGTAAGAGACATTTGCGGTCGTAACATTTTGTAAGACCAGTAGTATATTTATGAGAATAAGCAAAACCACACCACCATTGCCCTGCATTCCTTACATGGCTCTCCAGAGTGACAGATTTGGCTGGCTTTTATTTATCCTTGGTGGTGGTTTAAAAGCAATACTGATTTACTGATTTCTAAGGGGATAGAGATTACATGGGATGACTCGAAGTGATAAGGCTTTCTGGGGTTGGGGTTGCCACAAGAAAAGTAAAATATTCTCAATGTGCAAGGACATAGAAAAGAAGGAAAACCATCCTTGCAACAACTAACTTCAGCAATGAGGTTTTGTTTTAAAATTAACTTTCCAGGCTTGGAAAGAAAGCATGTAACTCCCTGGGACAGGACAGCCATTAAAGCAATCCAGAAAAAAATACCTAACTTGCAAAGCCCACAGGATATGAGAAAATGACACAGAAAAAAACTAAAATCATGACACTCGTAGGCTTCTATCCTTATGTTGAGCAACATGGCAAAAGAAGACAGAAGGAAATAGTACATGGAGCCCTAACACCTCTAAAATGAATTATTATTACAATCCACAGGTTCAAAGTAGGGAAGTCTTGATAAGCAACAATTTCTATTTTATTTCTTAGAGCAAAACACACAGTTCTCAGTTTCAAACTTGAAGCTGAATTAACATAAACCTGAGTTATAAGTCTTCTAGGTGTGTTCTTAATATGAAAACAGTATGGCAAAATGACAAACAGATTGAAATAAAATACCTTGCTGACTGTACAGGCTTGCTTCGTGGTTTTTTTGAACATACTCTGACATATTCCTTTTTGTTTGCGTTTTCAATGAACTTCACATACACTCGTTTGTATTTTGTTTTTGCATCCCCAAAATACCCAAGATACTAAAAAAAAAAAAAAAAAACACAAGTGTCTCTGTTAAGTAAAATTATTCAGTTTAACACTTAAAAATCTACATACTAAAGAAAAAAAGTCAATTTAAAACCAACCTGTTTACATACAAAGATGAGCCATCATCTTTAGAATTTAAGAGAAATTCTCCAGTGGATTTCCACATTGTATTTAAAGTAAGAAAATAAGGCTAGAGGTACTTTGGGCTTCATTTTCTCCCTTTATTTAATCCTCCTCTTGTGTCATTCCAAAAGGATTATCTGCCTGGCAAAGAGCTGCCTGCTGAAATCATATCCTATCTGGATCCTTCCCACTGCAAAAAGCTCTTGGCTCACAAGCCTATTTCCACTGACTTTATTCTGGTTGTGAAAACTTGCTCCTTTACACAGCCTGAGAGAACCCAGGCTCAAAAGCAAAGAATCTGCCAATTAATATATTAAGAGACAACTCTAGAGCAGGAGGAAATGAAGAAACCATTTTTTTTCTCTCCCCACACAAGGATGCTTGCTAAGAACATATATCAGAATGACATTTGATTTTGTTCCCTGGACTTCCCTTAAGGAAATCAGTTCCCACGAGGCTTCACGAAGACTCACACTGTTAGTAGCAGCAAACTCTCTCTGTCCATCTCGCACTTCAGGAACAAACTTTTGCAATAAAGCCTTCTGTACTTTCCAAATAGCTGGAGGCTCTTTTCCTGTTTGCAAAGCAACCTGTAAGATCATAAAATTATTTGCTAAAAACAGAGCTTATTTTTCTCCCAGAAGTGTATTTGCACATTGTATTTTTTTCGGCAAGTTACCCAGGGATAAAACTGTCATTCACAACTCCAAACCTTTGGACATTATGTGCCGTTTGCAACAAGACAGTATGACATGGACCACAGGAAGTATAGTGCAGCCTACAAACCTTATTTTCACAGCAAAGAAGTTGTGCCAACAAGATCTGCCTGCACCGTGGTGTCATAGGGACATCACGTACCATGCAACGGAGCCACAAAACTCTATTTTTTAAAGCAATATAACATTTTTCCAATTTCTTATGTTTTGCTCTGCGAGATATTTTTAAAAACAAAAATGCAAGAATCACAAGTAGTAAAGAGCTTGCAAATCCCTAAAGATCCTGTAGCAGAAGCCCAGGAACATTACAGCATGATGTCTGCACCAACGTGGAAAGAGATAGCTCAGTATGAACTAGTGAAACAGATTTTACACCTTCAGATCAACTTAATCATAAAAAAAAAAACTTGAACTGATTTTATTCTTCACATAGTTTGAGAAATAAATTACATTAAAAACAAATTGGTAGTTATTAGCTCCAATGAGAATTCTGTATAAATCCTACAGGCAAAGTATTAACTCAAAAAACTCAATTCTTTGGTATTAATTCCTTTTTCCTGACTGCTTAAATAAATAAATAAGATAAAAATAAAAATATCTCATAACATACCTTATTTGGTGTTATTAGTGACAAGTGAATATTTTAAAACTGGTAACACTTGTCTCATATGACAAAGCAACAGGAATTCATTTCAAACCTAAGCTCAAGATGACGAACACATATGTAAGTAATCAAAAGTATTCAAAACCAATTGTAACAATATTGCTGGCTATGATAAGAAAAAGGTAAACTCTGAATAGGAAAGGTAAACATGCAGAAGAACTTAAAATTGAGAAGCAACAAATCCAAAACAAAACAAGAAACGAAGACAGAAAGGAACACTCCCATAAACTCATATGAAGAGCTGCACTGGTTGCTAACGGAAGCCACTTCTTGTTAGAATAGCAAGCAGAACCTCTTAAAAAATAAAAAAAGACAAGACAATTCCAAGATCTTCTGCACAAGTCCAGAAGTTATTTTCTCAACACCTTATGCTTGAAAGCCTACTATGATCTTAAAAAAAAAAGCTAGCCAACAGCCTGTGAAAAATGTATGTTTTAATATGAAAAGAAGGTAATTTCACATTCTAACAGAGGTTACCAGCACACAGGCCATGTATGTATAAAACCTATTCATAACCTGCACTAGAAAAACACCTTTAAGGTATCTTGGCAGCAGCCAGGTGAATATCAGAACAGAAACAGAAAACTCATCTGTAGCCTTTCCCCTTTTGGTAACTTGTTGTGGCTACATTAATATGAAGGATTTTTTGTGATTTTTTTTTGCCAGAGCAAGTATTCAGATTACCTTTAGTGTCTCTATATCTTCAATCTTCACTACAAATTCATCACGTTCTCTGTACATGCCCTCTCCTCCACTGTCTGTATTCTCCTCATCAGTACATCCTTCTACTGCAACAGTTGCCTGTATTTTTGCCAATTGCTCTGAATTTACAGCATCCTGTTGAGCTACTTTTAAGGGGTCACCTGGATTCATTTTCTCCTGCACAGGAGCAGTTGTCTGTGGAGATTCCTGTTTTACTACAGCAGCAGTGGTGGTGGCAGCAGCAGTAACAACTGCCACTTTTTCAGCTTCTGAAGAAAAAAAAAATCCAAATTTTAGTTAAATAATACAGGATTAGTAACATGGGAGCTAGATTTATTTTTCTTTTTTGTTACAACACATGTTAAAAATTGTTACAATACATATTAAAAACAACTATACCAGGAAAAACAACTGTTTCAAGAGTGAAAATTGAAGCATTATTTCAGCCACAACTAAACCTTAAACAAAAGCAAATTATCATAGCTAGCATACTTCTGTTTGTAATAAAACTGCTACATCTGTTAGCACCTAGAAATAACAAAGATGAATGCTTTAGAAAATTGCTTGATAGTTACAGATATGATTAACAGGAAATACTGTTGTACTTTGTGTGAATAAGCAAATACAACAGAAAAGGTTACAACACTGAATCTTGTTTCCAACCTGGTGATAAGTATTCTTTTTTAAAATTGAATTAAGGAAAGAAAAATACACATGAAATATGAAACATTTGCTGTATGACTTCTAGACATTTATCACCTATATTCTGTGATAATTTAACTGGAAGTTCCATATTAAAACCATGGCAATATCCTATTAATTTTTAATATTAACAGAGGTGAACAATGAGAACTGACGATAAGGGAAAGAAAGGAAAGAATATTCTTCTCCTCTAAGCCAAAAGGACGCTCCCGCCTTTCAAAGTTATTACTCTTTC